TCGGGGGTGACCTGCTGCTGAGAAGTCCCCCCCCCCGATCTCCGCCGTGATAACCTCTGCTTTGGGCTTGCCCTCTTCTGAAACCCTCCTTATTCACCACCGCATCCTCAAGCTCCACCTTTAGAGAAGCCTTATATCCCACTTCTCCACCTTCCTCCTCCCGCGCTCTCCTCCCTTCGTCCCCTCACCCCTTTGCATTCGTTCAGGACCCTTCCTAGGGAGGGCTGGGGCTGGTACAGGTGCTCGCATTAAAGAGCAAGAGTTTTGTTTCCTCGCGCTCCTTCCAAAAAGGAGCTGCCATTCCATCCATTTGGAATGGCAGCCCCGGACCCACACATCAGGGTACCGCAGAAAATTCTCCAAAAATGGGAATTGGGTAATAAAAAGAGAATTCGGTAGGGTAGGGTAAGGGCAGCCTCTAAGGTGGGAACCGGAGGCAGCAGGGTCCCACTTGGCGTGCAACCCTCCACCGCCCTCACCAGCCGGCTGGTGGCAACTCCGGTGGCACCGGGAGCCCCAGTGAGGGGTAGGTCTCTGCTGTGCCAAGGATGGGCGGACAGACGGACGGGCAGACAGCAATGCCTGCACCAGGGGTGGTTTATGAGCACAGATGCTGGCACAGGTTGCACAGAGAAAGATCCTCTCTGTCTGCACTGGGACCATGGCTGCCTCCCTTGGTTTGGATGAGAAGGTGACCATGAGCCAGCAGGGTGCCCTTGTTGCCAAGAAGGCCAATGGCGTCCTGGGGTGCATCAAGAGGAGCGTGGCCAGCAGGGCGAGGGAGGTTCTCCTCCCCCTCTGCTCTGCCCTGCCCCAGTGAGACCCCACCTGGAGCTCTGTGTCCAGTTATGGGCTCCCCGGTTCAAGAAGGATGAGGAACTCCTGGAGAGAGTCCAGAGGAGGACAACAAGGATGATGGGGGGACTGGAGCATCTCCCCTACGAGGAAAGGCTGAGGGAGCTGGGCTTGTTCAGCCTGGAGAAGAGAAGGCTGAGAGGGGATCTCATCAACACCTACAAATATCTCAAGGGTGGGGGTCACCAGGACGGAGCCAGACTCTTCCCAGTGGTGCCCAGCGCCAGGACAAGGGGCCATGGGCACAACCTGAAGCAGAAGAGGTTCCAGTTGAACGGGAGGAAGAACTTGTTGACTGTGAGGGTGCCCGAGCCCTGGCCCAGGCTGCCCAGGGGGGCTGTGGAGTCTCCTTCTCTGGAGATCTTCAACCCCCGCCTGGCCGCTGTCCTGTGCCCCCTGCTGTGGGTGAGCCTGCTTGGGCAGGGGGGTGGCACTGGGTGATCCATGGAGGGCCCTTCCAGCCCCTGCCACTCTGGGATTCTGGGATTCTCATCAGTTTTAAAAGACTCATCAGGTTGGGGTTTTTTTAAGACCCTCTTACGGTCTCAAGCGTCCGGACACCGCCCTTTCCATAGGGTTCCTCACCGCGTGTGCCGTCACGGATGAAGCCCGGTCTGGAGCTCTCTGCTCACCGGTGGAAGCGCCGGCAGGAGCTGTGCTGTGCACTGTGCGCTGCGGCAGTGCCCAGCAACCACAGCCCTCGCCCTCAGCTCCACCGGAGCAGGAAAAAATGTCAGGGTTTGGCGTCAAATGTTTTCCAGCTTCCTTCTCACTGTCTCTTCCTTTTTATTCCGAGAAGCGGATGCCAAAGCTGGCTTAATTCAGCATCTTTGCACTTCAGTCAGAGGGGGAAAGGACAAAGCACGCCTGCGACTGAACTTTCAAGAATAACATTTTAAAATGCCAAGCACTTTTCTGCTAAATGAGGAAAGCATCGAATTTTAATTTCCAGAGCCGTGCAGCAGACAGCTGCAGCGAGCGACCGGCGGCCAGAGAGCAGAGCCGGGAAATGCATTTCGGCTCTGGAGCCTGCCCTCAATTGAGTTTGGTGGAGCTCCTTGCAATTTACTGAGTTCCTGGCCTGGAGATCCTCCCGAAGGCAGCGCCGGGAGGCCAGCGAAGATGCCCGGGTGGGCAGATAAATGGGGAGATAGAGGGAAGGCGCTGCTTCCGCGGCGTCCCTGCGGCCGGGAGTGGAAGCAGCAGATACCGCAGGTGGCAAACCTGAATACTGGGGGCAGCTCCGCCTCTTCCACCCTCTCCAGCTCGCCTCTTCCCGAATGCCCTGCCAAATTCCTGGGGTTTACTGGAAACCCCCTTGGCATCCTTTAGCAGAAAGGAGAAAAGGAAAATGGGCCAAATCCTTATAACCCAGGACTCCCCCCGTGCCATTTCGGGCGGCCCTGCGGTATTTATCGCACGTGGAGTCAAATCCGTGACGATGTAGGAAGGGCTGAGGGGGTGAAGGCAAAGAGAAAAGGGAATTTGGGCGGCGGGCGGGTGAGCCCTGCGTGGAAGCTGTAATTCAGAGCGGGGATTCGGGAGCCAGCCAGACCCTGGCTCCATCTGCAGTCAGCGGAGGGAAGTGGGCTCCGGCCAGAGCTGCGCCGCAAAGTCCCAACGCGGGGTTTGGTGTTTGCTGGC